ACAGACCGAAAATGGCCCTTCGTTTCAGGCTAAGAAGGCTACTGCCATTTTTAGTCTGAAACGACACAGGGTCTGTAGGCCCCTGTTTTTCAGGCTTTCGAGCTGAATGGACACGGGGTGTTGCATACTCCAATGAGTATGGGCAGAACCAAGAATCAACCAATGTAGGATGAGTATAGATGCCACGGAAGTCTGATAAACGGACTGACTCACATAGACTGACTCACATAGACTGACTCACATAGACTGACTCACATAGACTGACTCACATAGCATCACTCCACACACATACAATCGTGAGATGGTGGGGTCTGAGCCATACAGAGAGGATGCTCAGCCCCGTACACAACATACACARATGAATGGGGGAGGAGAGACGAAGGAGGTGGGSCGGTTAGACAGCACTGAAAGTCACCGGGATAGAAATCTGATAGGTCACCGATATGGTAGTCCAAAATGTCATCCCACAAGATCAAAATGTCGAGGACCATAGGTCACCAATGTCGGAGATACAGAGTMCAAATGTAACCGGTGTCCGAACTGTGATGTCGCCAAGTATCAACCCCAACGATCTCCAAGTCTCCAATCCGGTAAGTACCACAATCTCATATCACCGAAGTCCAACTCTGATCTCTGTCCAACTAGCATAAGTCTTCCATCTGAAGAAGAAGAAGAAGAAGAAGAAGAAGAAGAAGAAGAAGAAGAAGAAGAAGAAGAAGAAGAGAGCCGAGGAGGAGAGGGAGAGAGAGGGGACTGGCGAGGGGAGGGAGGAGAGAAGCCTCCGACTCCCGGTACCTCAGGCGGCTATGGCCGCCGGTAACCCAGTCGCCGCTGCTGCTGCTCCGCTCCCTGCTGCTGCGCTAAYGCTGCGCTGCCTGCTCCTCGCTCCTGCGCCAAACATAGCGCTCCAACGGCACTCTGGTGCCGACCTTACCGCACCGTATCGCATACCGGTGGGTCGATGCCTCGAAGTGAGGCCGGACCAGTACTAAGTACTGGTTCGAAGAGGACCGGCCTCACTGCTGCGAGGCCTTGGTTGGGGCTGAACCGTCCAGATCGACGATTCAGGTCCAASCGGAGAGTGGCAGCCTCAAATGGCGCCGTCAGGCCCAAAGACGAAATGTCATTTGGGCCTGGTCCGTAGTCGGGTCCAAGTCGTGGCCTTTCGGCCTGTTATCCCCCAAGGTCGGGCCTTTAGGCCCTGATGTGTCCCTCTAGCCCTAAGTCGGGTCCGGTAGGACCCGTGTGGTGTCGAAGATGTAACACGGGGCCTGTAGGCCCTGGTTTTCAGGCTTTCAGCCTGAGGGACGCAGGGCCTGGAAAATGGCCCTCGTGTGCAGGCGCAGCATGTAACAGTAGGCCCAGGCAAGTAGCTGCTCCTCAAAAGTGACGAGTGGGGCCAAAACCCTCTTTCAGAAGTCATTCGTCATATTTTTACTGCTTGGTGAGACTAGAGAGGGGCTACTTTCAGCACTCTGCTCGAGGAGAGAGAGAGAGAGAGAGAGAGAGAGCTGTCTCTTATACACATCTAGATGTGTATAAGAGACAGGGAAGTCATAGAGAAGGGTTGGATCCGACCGAGT